ATTTCTTCTTCTTCTTCTTCTTTGATTAATGGCCTCTCGACATTATTTCTAGGCTTTTCTAAGGAGAAGAGTGCATATTTACATTTTACACCTGAAGTCAAGATGCCATCAAATTATTTATTAAATTTTATTTTATTATTAAATTCAAACGTACTATGAAACAAATGGTGTAATGTTTTAAGGTTTACAATCAAATAAGGTTCAAGTCCTAAACGGACTAAGAAATTATGTGTCACATAATTCATTGTTCCATATCTGGGCTTACCTTGTTTCATGTTTGAGAAATCTCCACGTTATTTCTAGTGTGGTAGAGTTTTGAAGGAAGACCTTTGTTCAAGAGACCTTGTCATCATAGCATATATTGGAATTACTGAATGATATAAAAAAAAGGGAAGTTATATTTCGCTGCAACTTATTGCAAACATATTTGAAGACAAAAGACCTGTTGCCAGTGATCAGCTATGGAACCAAGGCATGGTCCTTTTCTGCTGGCCGTATGAGGAAGCTCAAAGTCGCTCAGCGAGCTATGGAGCGGGCTATGCTCGGTATAGAGTTAGCAACGAAGACATCAGCACTAGAACAAAGGTAACCGTCATAGCTCAGAAAATTAGCAAGCTGAAGTGGCGATGGGCCGGCCATAGGGCTCGTAGAATCGATAACTGACGGGGAGAAAGATTCTTGAGTGGCAGCCTCGCACTGGTCATCGCAGTGAAGGACAATCCCTCATTAGATGGAGTGACGACCTATGCAAATGTGCGGGAAGTCGATGGATGCAGGTGGCTGAGGATCGTGTTTCGTGGCAGTCTATGGGGGAGGCCCATGTTCAGCAGTGAACTCAAACAGGCTGAAATGATGATGATGATATAGCAAAAGTCTTATTAAATAAAACAACAGGTCGCATAAACAGGTCACATAAAAATGTGATTAAAGTAAGTTACCAAGAAATATCACAATGTTAGCCGACTGCCGATCTTTGGGCAAAGATTAATGACGCTGACGCAATGCGATCTGTCAGTGCCAAATGGAACGTTAGTTTTTTTTTATTAGTGTTCCTTTCGTAATGAATACTGCGCTATTAATTTGCTCGCCAGTATTGTGTGACGCAACAAATGCCAAAGAGTTTATTATATGAGTTATTCCTCTAACTTTTCTGTGAATGTGAAATTAAAACTTGCTTCGTAGACAGCATTATTTGGATTCCTTTGACGATCTGTGATGGTTTATTTGTAAACTTACTTATCAAACAAGAGATGAAAACATTATGATAAAACTTTAAATAGACCTTTATAGAGCTTTTCGCTCGGCTTCGCTCGCGTTAATAAAAAGAATATGTGTACAAAGTTTCATGGTAATCAGTTCAGTAGTTTTCTCGTAAAAGCGTATTGCCTCCGAAAAAAAGAATGTTTCAATATCACTAAAAAGTCAATAGAATTTTTTTTAGTAGGGCCACGTAGCAGTCTTCGCTGTTGCACTATTGGGCAGGACCGTCCAGGGAAGTACCACGAGCTCATAGAAGACCGGCGTAAATTGGGACAACTTCTGCGTTTCGTCTGGAGAGCTGACCTCACTTTAATGAACACTTGCCATTTTCATACATAAAAAAAATCTTACGTTACTTAGCGTTTCTTCACAGTTCTCATGTAAAAATTATTGTAATATGACGTGTGAATATGTTTATATATCTGGATGGCACCGTTCTTATTTATTTATTTAAGATTCATTGCTATACCTTAAGCTTAGGGTTACAATGGGCGGACTTAATGCCTAATGGCACTCTACCAGTCAACCCTTGTCATGGTGAAAAGTAGATGGTAGGTGCTAAATGAAGACTATAAAAAAAGTTAATAAATGTACCATAAAATGTAACATATATTGCAGTTTCTTTTAATTCATATACTAAATAAATAAGTATTTTGGGACACAACATTATCTAGTTCCAAACTAAGCAAAGCTTAAAAGCTAAAATGAGCTAAAAAGCTTTACAGTAGTGGAGATCAAACCACTCGATGCTTTTCTGCGATATTTTTTTTGTTAATCTGACTATTCATAATTTAAATTTATTGAAAATTATTTTCTACTTTTTAGTTCGGTTATCTACAAAAGCGTGTTTTTCATTTTTTTAACTATTATTTATTTTCTATTAGTTTAGTTCTCCTAAGTATAAAAGTGTGTTTTTTCTTTTTTTTTTGCGCACCGGGCACCAGGACACTACCGGACATCATCATTTGGAAAATAGATAAACCTGAAGGTCCTGATCAGGATAATGGGAAAAACTATTTAAATTATTACATTGTCGTGGTTCTTTGACGAGTGTGCAAAGTTTAATTCAAATGTGATCGTTCTTAGTGGGCAAAATCACGTTCAAAGATTCCGTTACATACATACAGGTGAAACTCATATAAGCGTGTTAGAAATCAATTAGTATACTGGCGATATCTGACATAAAATTATGAATCCATACTTCCATACTAATGTTTTAAATGCGAAAGTAACTCTGTCTGTCTGTCTCGTTTTCACTCCAAAACTACTGAACCGATTGAAATGAAATTTGGAACACGTATAGTATAGAGCCTGAGAAAGGGCATAGGCTATTTTTTTAATCGGCAAAATGAGTTGTAAAGTTTGAATGATATTTATTTACGGGTTTCAATAGGCAATATTAGGGCTACATAATTAACTCTTTTGCCGGCTTCAACTTTTTCCAAATATATTAGATCATTACTCAAAATTAGCGGTTTAGTTTTTACGACAAAAATGTAATAGGTGTTTACTTGTTTAATTTAATAAGATATAAAAATTAAGTAACTGTTAAAAATTGCACGTGAAGTTTCACTTTATCTCAGGGAGCTCTAGTATAATAAGATAGTAGCGTTATGTAAAACTTCTTTCTTTATAACATCGCGTTGCCTCTTGCAGTTTTTGATTAGATTCTTATTAGTTTTTCATCAAGGACGCATCTAGACTGGAAGCGACGTTTAATTTAACGCTTATTTTAGCTACATAAACTTGTTTAACGAAGTTAAATACATCCATCGTTACATGTACTGTAGGATTACAAGATACTGTGTTGTAAGGACGTTTTACATGCATAAATTTCTCGTGGACAAACAACCAGATCCGAAACAAGTCCGTCGATCCGTCTGTGGGTCTTACAAATAATTGACCGGTGCGGGAATCTAACCCACGACCCCCGGCGCCGAAGCCAACACTTTGACAATTGCACCACGGAGTCATAATAAAATTAGTATGTTATCATATTAAATTTGTAGAAAAAGTACGAAAAGATTGTTGCCGCTGTGGGAATCGAACCCACGTCTGCCTTTACAAATCTAATGTTCAATATTAAGTAAAAAAAAAAGAAAAACTTAAATTTTATATTATCATATTCAAATATGAAGCCACTAATCAATAAATAACCGAATATCGTAGTGGGTAGTGCACCCGCCTCAATGCCCGTGTGGGTTCAATGCCCACTACTGGAAAAATATTGTGTGATGAACGTAGTGTTTCTCTAGTGTTTGGGTGTTTATCTATGTGTTACACCTGTTTCACTCTATCCCTATGCACACATGTTTTTGTTTTATAATGGTTAGTCGCAAATAAAATATCATAGAAGACAGACGTTCGTTTACTTTAAGGAAGTGTGACAACCCGTAAGCAACCTTATTACCAGTAACATATGGTCGACTTCTCGCCGGATCCCAATCGACTACCTGCTTTGGGTCAGCGGCTGATCGAAGAACAATAGACGCCGAGTCCCTTAGCGATAAGAAGCGGACAGTGCAATAATTAACGCACAACGTTATAAACACATTACGTTAAGAACTTTATCAAAATTTGAGTGTTTAAAACTACAAAATGTCTACGCAATTTGATAAGTTAATGGGGTTATTGGAAGATCAAGCTGCTTCGTTAAAAAAACTCAAGTTAATTTAAAAAAGTGTCCGAAACAAAGATTTACCAAGGGCTATATAGAATCACGGATTCAGTGTATTGAAGAATATTGGAGTGCATTCAAGACTACACATCAAGACATAGTTAAATGTACGACGCGCGAACAAAGGTCCATGATACCATATTTCGCGAATGAAGATTTTTACATCCAGGAAGACTTGTATTTATGTATGATGGGCGATTTAAAGGATATGCTGGAGGCTTCCTGCGCCAAAAGCTCCCAGTTGCAGGTCAATTCCCAGAATACATCATCGGAAGCACATACAAGCTCACTCGTACATTTACCCCGCATCCACATACAACCATTTTCCGGCAATTATGAAGAATGGCCCACATTTAAGGACTTGTACGTTTCGTTGGTACATGAAAACACTTCTCTTTCCGACGTTCAGAAGTTACACTATTTGAAGACAAGTATTACGGGTGAGGCTGCGTCCTTATTAAAGAATATCAAGGTGACTAATGACAATTACGCTCAAGCATGGGAAGCTCTCAACCACCGTTTCGGCAACAAGCGACTTATCGTCAATTCTTTATTAAAAAGATTATTTAATCAAAAAAAAAATGTTCCAATCAAACAGCTGCGCAATTAAAATCCCTTCTGGATACTACTAGTGAAGTTTTGATAAGTTTGCAAAACCTTAAGATATCAACGGACTCCTGGGATCCAGTAATTATATTTCTGGTCGTACAGAAGCTGGACTCGGAGTCTCACAAGGAATGGGAACAAGTTGCCTATACGGAGAATTGTGAAGAACTATCATCATGGCATCATCTGAAGAAGTTTTTGGAAGCTAAATTTAGGACACTCGAACTAATCTCACCTACCGTTGCTAATACGAAAACTATAAAGGAACGAGTATTCCACGTTTCTTCTGAAAGTGGTAATAAAATCTTGTAGTCTATGTAAGGATGCTCATACTTTATGTCACTGCGATCAATTCAAGAAAATGAATACTGCTGAACGAGAAGATTATGTTAAGAATAATAAACTCTGCTTCAATTGTCTTGCATTAGGACATTCCGCCTTCAAATGTCGCTCGCGAATGTCTTGTCGCACCTGCAGGAGACGTCATCACACTCTTTTACATCAACCTAAGTACTCCGACTCGCCGGCATTATCTGCTGAAGTTGTTCAACCGACGAAGTCAACCCATTCTGATGTGGAAGAAAAGCAAGTGCACACAATGACCTCCTCATTTCAAAGTGAATCAAAGATTGCTCTATTAGCTACAGCAGTAGTTATTGTAAGAAGTGCAGATGGCCACACTACATTATTCGATTCAGGATCTCAAGCATGCTTTATAAGCGAAAAGGCGACTCAAATACTTAAACTGGACCGAAGACCAGTGAATCTTGTTGTCTCTGGAATGGAATCAATGAAGGTGCATGTAAAACAAGAGGTCAACATACAAGTTTTATCACGATGGGAATCCAATTTCTGTCTTCCAATACAAGCCTACGTGATGTCCAAACGATTGACCTCGAACTTACCTTCCAAAATTAAGATGGATAGTAACTGGCAACACCTAAAGGACCTTAACCTCGCCGACCCAAATTTCTACAAAACTGGCAATATAGATCTACTATTGGGCGTGGATGAATATACAGTCATATTGCAACAAGGACTTATCAAAGGTCCACCAGGAACACCATGCGCACAAAAAACTCATCTTGGATAGTTAGTGATAGGAGGAATAAACATGCACAATATGAACGTGAATTCTTTGACCGTTATAAAACAAGAAGTTAATATCGATGATTTGCTAAAAACTATATGGGAAGTAGATACAGATACGAAAAGAAAGCTTACTAAAGAAGAGCTCATGTGTGAAGAGATTTTCGAAAGGACTCACAAAAGAGACAAGGATGGAAGATATATCGTAAAACTGCCTTTTAGAACAGAAAAACCTAGATCACAAGATGGAAACTCAAAAAAGATAGCAGATTATATGCAATTAGAGAATATTTATGCAATTAGAGAGAAGATTATTGAAAAATATGGAGCTGAATCAAGAATACATTAAGGTTATAGAGGAATACAAGGAGCTTAAACATCTAGAAGAAGTACCTGTAAATGAAATAAATAACAAATCAGTTTTTTACTTACCTCATCATGCCGTAATCCGCACAGACAAGGAAACTACAAGGGTTAGAGTTGTCTTTGATGCGTCATGTAAGAATTCTGATGGAATTTCACTGAATGATGAACTCTTGTTAGGACCAATACTTCAAGAAGACCTCAGAAGCCTAGTCATGAGATGGCGTTTTCACGCTGTGTGCTTCGTCGCAGATATCCAAAAAATGTACAGAATGATCTTAATTGACAAGGATCACACCGACTATCAAAGAATACTGTGGAGAAATGACCCTATGCAGGACCTGATAGAATATCGTCTTCTTACAGTAACGTTTGGGACAGCATCAGCTCCTTATCTTGCTGTAAAAACACTTATGCAACTAGCTGATGATGAGGGACATCTGTTTCCTAACGCTGCGAGAATTTTAAGGGAAGAACAAGCTGTCAAGGCTAGTCACGACATAAAAGCTCTTTTACGGCTTGGTGGGTTTGGGCTAAAAAAATGGTCATCCAACAGTCCTGATCTTTTAGCTTCAATTAAACCAGAAGACAGGTCATCAAGTGCGCACCTGTCTCTTAAGATTGATGGTATAATTAAGGCACTAGGCTTGCAATGGAACCCGGGTAGTGATCAATTTGAATATAACCTTAACTTGACACCTGTAGAGAACGTAATTACTAAAAGGAGCGTTCTATCTGATATTCAGAAGCTGTTTGATCCTCTTGGATGGATCTCTCCTTGCATAGTTTTGGCTAAAATGTTCATACAAGAACTTTGGTCAAATAAAGTTACATGGGATGAAGAGTTAAACGAAATTCTGGCTGAAAAATGGAAAACCATACGATCAGATCTAGAAAATGTTAATGGAATTTACATAGATAGATGGATGGGAACATTAAGTTCAGAAAAGCTTATGCTGCAGTAGTATATTGCCGAGTTAAAGGACCTGACAATTCTATTAGAACAACGTTGATTGCTTCACGAACGAGAGTAGCTCCATTGAAAACCATTTCTTTGCCTAGACTTGAATTGTGTGGAGCTTTGCTTCTGTCAAGGCTAATAAAACAGGTTGGGCAAGCTTTGAGAATACCAGCATCGCAAATCTATGCTTGGACCGACTCATCAATTGTCATATCTTGGTTGTTTGGTGATCCAAACAAATGGAAATCATTTGTAGCAAACCGTGTGGTTGAAATAACAACCAACATAAACAGCAGGCAATGGTATCATGTTCAATCCAATGATAACCCTGCAGACATTGCATCCAGATTCATTTTTTTTTTGCATCCAGAGGAATGATTGTGTCAAACTTAAAGGAGAGCAAACTATGGTGGGATGGACCAGAATGGTTAAGTAAAACAGAAATACAGTTCACTAGACCTAATTTTTTATTGATACAGACTTAGAAAAAAGAAAGGCTACAATACAGACTTTAAAGTTAAGTAATGAAGATAATGTAGACACAAAATTAACAGACCAGTTTGAAGGCTTTGATAGTTTAAACGAGCTATTGAGAACACTTACTTACTGTAGAAGATTTTTGAAGAAAAATAAGGAAAACGTAGATAGCGCAATCACAACGGAAGAATTAGAAAATTCATTAAAAACATGCATAAAAATAGTACAACAAGACGACTTCAAAAATGAAATAGATGATCTTAGGAAAAAAGGGAGAGTAAAGAACCATAGCAAACTTAAGTCATTAGATCCGTATATTGACGAAGGGAACATACTCAGAGTGGGCGGCAGGCTCAGAAACGCTGCATTAAGACATGACAGTATACATCCAATTATACTAGGACAAGCAAGTAAACTCACCGCACTAATTATCGCTGAAGCTCACTCTAAGACTATGCATGGAGGGGTGCAATTAATGCTGACTTATCTTCGCTCGAAATATTGGATATTGCGAGCCAAAGGCCTTGTTAAAAAACATATTCATCGATGTATGGTCTGTGCTCGTCAGCAAGCGCGAGTGAAGGGTCAAATTATGGGAGACCTACCAAACGTCCGAGTAACACCATCGCGACCGTTTTTAAATTCGGGAGTGGATTTCGCCGGCCCGTTTCAGATCCTAATGAGCAGTGGCAGAGGTGCTAAAACCAACAAAGCATACGTAGCTTTATTTGTATGCATGTCTACGAAAGCGATACATTTAGAATTGGTAGGTAACCTAAGCACAGCGGCATTTATTGGCGCTTTTAGAAGATTTTGTGCCCGCCGAGGAAAATGTTCGAATCTATGGTGTGACCAAGGAAGAAATTTTTGTTGGAGCTAATAAAGAGCTAAGCTATCGCAGGCCTGGAAAGAAGCTAACTTTCAATTGAATGATGAGATCGCAAATCTGCTTGCTAATGATGGAACTCAATTTCACCATATTCCAGCCTATTCAACTAATTTCGGAGGACTTTGGGAGGCAGGTGTAAAATCCATGAAATATCACATGAAGAGAATTCTAACTACACATCTAACTTTTGAAGAAATGTCAACAGTCCTTTGTGAAATTGAAGCATATTTAAACTCAAGACATTTGTGTCCAAGGGACTCAAATGACAATACAATACAAGTATTGACACCTGGTCACTTTCTTATTGGAGAAGCGCTAGTTACTGTACCCTCTCCAGGGTTCAAGGACGTTAATATGAGCAGATTATCACGATGGCAATACACTCAAAAACTTCTTAATGATTTCTGGAATAGATGGCAAACGGAGTACTCATCGAGATTGCAACAGAGACCAAAATGGCTTAAACGGGAAGTTGAATTTAAGATCGGAGATATAGTTTAATTAAACAAGATAATATGCCAATAGGGAAGTGGTATTTGGGCCGTATTATGGAGAAACATCCAGGACCCGATGGTTTGACGCGCGTCTATAGTGTAAAAAGTGGAGATACCATTACTAAACGCTGTGTTTCAAAACTATGTGCTTTACCAATAGATACTGATTAAACTTTATTGTTTAAGTGCCCACAGAACTTATTTAATTATTTACTTAAGCATGAATATTATTAATAATTTAGCTTTCACTTGTTATAGTTTTTTTTTCACTAATTGTTTGTGTTTTGAAAGGACTCATAAAGTCCTTTGGTGGGCGGCTATGTTACACCTCTTTCACTCTTTCCCTATGCACACATGTTTTTGTTTTATAATTGTTAGTCGCAAATAAAATATCATAGAAGACAGACGTTCGTTTACTTTAAGGAAGTGTGACAACCCGTAAGCAACCTTATTACCAGTAACAGTATGTAATAATATGTATTTATGTATAATATGTATTTATAAGGATGTTTAAGTATGTTTATCAGTTATCTAGTACCCATATTAAAGGCGTTGTTTAGTTTGGGGCTAGAGAACGTTGTGTAAAAATGTGTCCTAGAATATTTATTTATTTATTTAACTTTATTTAGATCAAAGAATACCAAAATTCTTCAATGAACCCTCTGGTTATATTATGTCGACTATGAATAGGATTATTGCGAGCAGTATGTCCAATAGACCATACGAAGTCAGAGGTCAGAGCGATCTTAAACAAATGAGGATCGTTAAACGAGATCTGAAGACGAGTTTTGAATTTCGAAGGTCTGTGTTGCGTAGATACGATTTGGCGGTTTCCAATTAAGCGGGGCTAAGTGCCATTCACAAAATCAAATGTCGATCTGACTAGACTATCTTGTCCTTTGAATTGTAAAGCAAGTCAGGAGGTGTTGAACGTATGTTAAGATTCCCGATCTCATTCCTTGAATCCATGTGGAGTGGAGCCATGAAGTATATATACTATAATATGTTACTGTCATAGTGTTATATTTAATTTACGCCCTCACTGAAACTCATTCGATTTCAGACCGATAAGTTAACGGTTATGCCGAAGACGTGGGTTCGATTCCCACAGAGGCAATCTTTTCATACTCTTTTTTACAAATTTTAAAGTTACCTATAATTCTTGCTTATGTATTTATATTGTTGCTTGGTACTCTAGTATCCTTACTATGGACGTTTTGACAAGTATTTGGACTAGCATTTAAATGGAGTTTTCTATTCATCAAGAGGTTAGGAAAGGTTGATCAAAACCTGGCCAAAGGGATCAAAAGACTGGTGCTTGGCCAACTAGAGCAAAGAAATCTTTGCTATGGCTCGAATGGCTGAATCGTCCAGGGAAGTAGCATAGCCTTAGAAGAACAGTGTAAAATGGAATTCATACTTCAGCGTTTAAGTTGGTGAGTAGGTAATCATTGTTTTAAAGGTGGCATCGTATTTCCAACCCCAGGGGTCTTTGCGATGTCCATAGGTGGCGGTTATCACTTAACATCTGGTGATCCACCACCTCGCAATCCACCTTTTCACATAAAAAACCCATCTGGTGTTATTGGGGTCCACGGGCGGCAGAAAACCCTCAACATCAGGTCGCTTGCTAACTTTAAACATCAAAAAATATATAAATGCTGACATCTGAACGAAGCTTATAATAATTTTTATAACATAACTAACATTTGGGCAGAGGGACACTCACAATGGTATCTATAGTATTACACTTATCTACACTAATTATAAAAGCATTGCCGTAGAAAATCCTAATATATAAGCGCTACAGACACTAT